GTGAACACAAAGTGAAATAATTGTTAGCATTTTAACATGGCAGTAAATGATTTGTAGGTATAGGATCTTGCAGCTGCCTAAACACTTAAGGTCTTTTCAGGAAGGGTTTCTGCAATGTGGAAGAATCAGGTCTTTCCCAACTATCTGCAAAAAGTCACAGTTTGATCTCTGTCTCCCTTAAGGACTTCATGAAAATTGAGCAAATGATATCAGCCCATCAAAGTTATCAAGTGTTAGATGTGATTCTTTACACATTCCTTTTCCTGAATTCTTACCTGGCTTGACGTCTCACAGTGGATCAGTGATAAACTCATGCAATCTCTTGACTCATGAATTTATTAATCATTACTTTCTCATTTTCAGTTCACAGCGTATTAAGATCAAATGACTTTTTATTGCCTTTATACCAAATGGAAAAAGCAGAATAGAAATAAACATACCCTTTTGTAAAGTCTTCCTGTGTGGACAATTCCTCCTTGAAACAGCATCTGTACACTTGCAAAACCGATGTATCAGTAAGGATTTGTGTGGAAGTGGATGCAGAGTCAGGTGAAGTGAAGTATATATTTAAAATTTAGTAATTAGGCCATGCTAAATTCTTACGATGACATTTTACTTTCCTAAGTGAATCACGCTGTTTTTAACCCATATCCAAGATGCAGTAGGATGAAGTATACATAACTGCTTTTAGGCCACATTTATACTGGTAGTTAGGTTTGACATTTGTCATTTACATAGGCTGGACAGCAGAGACTGGTGAACAGATGGACAATCTGTGGCAGTTCTGCTTCAGTCAGGTAAGGATTTTTTTTTTTATTCTTTTGCGCATCCCACCATTTTTTTCTACAAGGGGTTTAGAATTTGTGAGTCTTCTGGTGGTAGAGGCCACCTCTTTCAAATTCCAAGGCAGACAGCACACCTCACAAGTAAAAGCAGCTGAGCCAAACAAGCACAAGCAATTTAAATTTCTGCAAGTTTTAGATGTGTTTAAGTACTTAGCTCTCTCTCTGTGTCTTCTCCTGTCTAGTAGTGCACAGGAAGGGGAATAAAAGCAGGGGATTGCTTAAGTGCTGTGAAGTGACCAGTACTCTCATATGTGCTCCCTGAATACACTAAAAATACACTTTCATTAGGAAGTTTCTACTATCTTTCAGTGGATACTTTTACTTTTTCATCCTATCTGATCCATCCGTTCAGTAAGAACTATTGTGTCCCTGCAGAAAATAAGGAAATCTTCCATTGCCTCCTAACCAATAGAAGTAGCATACAGCAATGCAGTGGAGAGAGAGTACCATTCAGTGGTTCTGTTCAAAGCTGGAAGAAAAAATAATTAAGAGCTTTAGAGGTTCG